ATTCCCCGTACACTGGCGCGCCTCTGGACAGCAGGTCCGCACCCGTGTTCAAGTCTCCCGGGACGTGCGTCGCTCTCAGGGAGAGAAAGTGGGCACTGCTCCAGAGAATCAAGTCGCGCGCCAGATTGTGCAACATGCGTGAGCGCAGACCCCCTTGGCGGTTGATATACGCCACTGTTGTCGTGTTGTCCGTCCTCACCAGGACATGGTGACCCGAGAGGAATGGGAGGAAGTGTCTCAGAGAAAGAAACACCGCCGAAAGTTCGAGAAAGTTTATGTGAAGGCGCTGGAGGGCCTGGCTCCAGCGACCCCTCACAGACCTGCCCTCGTGAATGCCGCCCCAGCCTGATAGGCTGGCATCCGTGGTTACCACTTTCCTGGACGAGACGGTGCCCATAGGCACCCCTTGGGTCAGGAAGGACGGGGCTCGCCAACAGCGCAGAGCTGTTATACAGTCCGCTGTGACCGTTATCCGCTGTGCGCCATGACGCACGGGGTCCATTCGGAGCGAAGCGACCCAGCGCTGAAAGTTCCGCATGTGAAGGCGGCCGAGGCGAATCACGAGGATGGCTGAGGCCATCAGACCCAGCAACCGAAGGCACAGTCTGAACTGGACAGACCTGTGCAGACGGAATTGTGCAAGGCACGCTCTAAAAGCCGTCACTCAAGGGCACGGCGGTTTAGGCTTCTCAGGCTGTGCTGGGGCCATGAAGGTGTCATCCTCTTCCTCGTCCTCTGATATGAGGAACGAGGTGTCGTCATCCTCCTCCATGGGGCTGACTTCCAGCACGTCTTCCTCGGGAAACGGGGGGGGCATGGAGCTGCTCGCACTGGGCACCCCAGTCGTAGTCAGTCTCCGGAGCTTCCCCAGCTGTGTCCACGTCCTCCTCCGCGGCTGCACCTTGTGCGGCGGTGGGGAGGAATGGGTCACAGTCTGAGACGCTAACCTGGCGGGCTAGCCTGCGTCTGAGGCTCTTAACCGTGAACACTTTGCAGTGTCCACAGGAGCCGGGAATTTCTAGGGCCAACCTGGCGTGGTCGACTCCCAGACAGGTACTGCACACCGGGTGGGTGTCCTTCCCTGAAATTTTATTCCCGCAGCCACAAAGACGGTAGTCTCCCCTGGCGTGGGGGTTTTGGACGGCCGCCATTTCCCGACGAGCTGGAGTGCTGGTAGGGAAAGGAACCGTAGCTAGCTGGCGTGCTAGCGTGGCGGGGTCGAGGCAGTAGCTGGTGTGCTAAATGCTCGTCCGACTCGAGCGTCCGTGGAGGGGAGCCGAGAGGGATTCCGCCGTGAAGAGAGACAAAAAGGATACCGGTCCGGTCTGGAGTGAGCGGACAGGGCAGAAGCCAGAGCACAGTGCTAGCTTCCGGCGACGGAAACTAGCAAGGTCCGTCTGTGGGCAGTTAAGCTAGCGAAGGCTCCGACGTGAGATAAGCTCTCAGGTGAGAAGAGGTTTTGAATTGGAGTGCCGTGATCCGCACACGCTTTAGTAGTCGGAGCTACGGGGCGTGGCGTATGACGGGCACTTCCACCGGCCAATCAGGATTGGCAGATTGAGATAGATGCTTCTATCAGGGCTGCAGGAGGCTGCTTCCCATAGCGAGACACCGAGTGAATATTATGAAAAAGAACGTTTATGTAGGAATGCTGAAGCAACACTTTAGGCTTCAGCAAAGGAAGCTAAAAGTCGAACGCAAATGTTTTTTGATTTAGGAGGGTGTGGAATGAGGGTAGTCCACAAACTTGAGTCAAGCCCATGTCACACCATGACGATTTAGACCAGCATATGCCTAATGTACGAAACATCTGGCAGAAAAGATGGCGTCTGTTTGATAGCTTAAGGGTAAGTTTTTTACGAATTATGAACACACTGGTGCTAGTCGATATATGTCCATGTACGTCGAGAAATTTTGAGCATGTTAAAAATTGACCAGAAATTGACGTATGCCAGCGCATGCTCACACATGGGTCATAAGTTTCAGGTAGATTATCTGATCATTAACATACGTTAAGTGTCAGTTACTCATAAGTCAGGGCGTCTAGCTTATCGAAAACCTATGAGTAATTTGTGCATAACTTATGAAGAACTTATCAACAATGTATCAGAGGTGTTTCAGACGACCGCTGAATGTGTTTCTAACTTACAGCTTCTGTATAATAACGTATTGGTAGCGTTTTGGAATAAAATGGGGTTCGAAGGAGGAAACTATCAGTACTCCTCCAGACCTCATCCCCATCATAGGGTGAGCGTGAAGGTGGGTGTGATGGATCCTCCCTGCGTTCACGCCCACGGCCATGACCAACAAATTTCCTATTAGACATGAAGCTGAATCTCCACGACTGCAAAACTTCTTTCTTTTTATTTTTTTTTTATTATTTTGGTGGGCACTAAACAACAGCTAGGTTAATACCATTATTAACTTAATCTTTTTATGTAGGACGTGTGCCTCTGTGCACATTGCTGCCCCCCTCAGGACACTGGCGTATGCCATTTCATGGGTTATGTATAAGTTATGCTGTCGTTGGACATAAGTTCTGGACTCATTATGAATAATCTATGTATAAGCCCAAAATTGAAAAAATACATAGAAAATTTAGCAAATGCCAGTGTTTCAGGAGATCCTGGGAAGTCAGGCATACTCTGGCTAAATCGTCAAGGTGTTACAGGGGCTTCAGTTATAGCATTTCTGATTGGATGAAGGGACCCAAATAAAAAAACAAATCTGGACATTCAAAAAGTTTGACCAAAGTTGTATTTTTGGTATGTGAAGGTATGTGTTTTCAGCCACAATAAGTATATTTAGGGTGAAGGTAAGGCTTTTCTTAAGTGTCATACTGTTGGACTGTTTTGTTTGGGATTATGAAGTTAGAGGACCTATACCGGATTCTCCAAATTTACCCTCAGATCAGCAGGCAGATCTACTGAACACAGCTGGGTGTTAAATCAGAAAAATAAATCCATTTGCGCTTTCCTCAAGAAGACTGTATTTCAACTTCTCATCAGTGATGTCCGTACTCACTCATTGGTATGAGACACCAGGTGACTGTCTGAGTGAGCTATAAGGATGAAGGATGAAGGACACGCTGCCCGTAGGGGATTGAAACAAAAGCAGAGAAATGCAACCAGACAGTGAGAATAAGAGGACATGTTTAAGTGCATTTGACTTCTATCTCTGGTTTAAGTGCTCCGTCTGAGGTTTTGTTTCATCATGTTTGGTCTTCTCTGTGTGTGAGGTTTTATTTTTTGTGAATTTTGAGCCATGCGACGAAGCACTCCCCACAGACAGGAGAGCATCAAATATTTACCTTCCAGACAGTCAGTGGTGTTATCACCGTAATGTGTCTGTCTTATTGCACTAGAGACCTAAAAAACATCACTACTTTGTTCCTGTGCACACAAACAAAAGCTTAAGCAATGCTGCATTGGTGGAAATGAGACACAAAGACACGTCTATATGGCAAGTCAACAATGGTTTGACACGCAACAATCTTAGTCGTCCACCTTAGCTTTTTACCTTCCCCTAAGCATTTGTGTATTTGTGCTGTACGATTATTAAACATCTTCCTCATGTAAGTGTTTCTCTCAGCAGGTTATTATTGGCTGCTCACAGCCTACAAATTACCATCAAATAAACTTGCACATACTGGGCAGAGAAATGTCAAAACTACTTTTTCTCTACAACAAATTCAGTTATAAAACAGTGATTCTGAACTGATCTGTTTGGTTTTTTTGCTCCTTATTACAACTCTAAAGTGTAGTAAAAAGACACTAATTAATATCATATGTTCAGGTAATGTAAACTTACATCCAAGGAAAGTTGGATTTTAACAGATCGATATATCTAAGAGGTGCAAAGTAATTAAACCGCTTCATTCCCTTATTTAAAAAGGGCCAGTAACAGAATTAGCATATAATGAGGCGTTACATAAAAAGAAATAAATGTTTGACAGATTTAACAGCCCATTCACAACAAATGTTCAGAAATTAATAGGAGAAAGGTTTAGCAGAAAGCAAGGTAGAGCCAATTATGCTTCAGTGACAGTCTGTGTGAGTACCTCCACTTACGTGACAATTCTTAGAGGTATGAAGTGTCAAGTGACCAGAAACATGGTTGAGGTAAAGAATGGCTTAAAAATAAAAGTCCTCTGATTTAGAATTCAGGTTTTACCAGGCTTTTTATAAAAAAAAAATAAAGATGGATTGGAAAAAACAAACAAAAAAAAACAGAAAAAAACCCTCTGATATTATTGGCATATTTTTGTGAGTCTAAAATAAAAAAAGATAAATAAAAACATGTTTTTCTCTAAGCATGCCTAAAACTGTTGGTTTTAAAACTGCTTAACACTTTAAAAAATGTATATCCCTGTATAAATAGTAGGATTTGTAATGTATGGATGATCTGAGCTTTACCAGGTCCTAAGATCGTTATCCTCTAAGTTTAACGTGAATCAAAAAATAGATGATGGAAAAAAAAAAAATCAATTCCCCCAATCTCTCCAAGTGTACAAAGTAAAGTGCAAAAATTATTAAACCCTGAGCCTTTTTTCTTTCTTTGAATCTTAGCAATCACAAAGGCATTGATTGAGCCAGTGTCAGCTAATCCTTCCTGGGGCTCAGTCAGTCTATTCGCTGCAGGAGTTGCCTGTTTTCTACATCAGTATAAACATGGCACTTAACCTGCAAAGTATTTAACCTTTTATAGATCTGTTTGGTTTGGTTCTGGCAAAAGTTTTCATACCATTTGTGACATATTCTGGTATTCATCCATTATTTGGGAATTTTATGTGTTTGACCAACAGGGAAAAGATATTATTTAATCTGTTTAATAGTCTTTTAAACGGTATTTTGAATAGCTAATTATATGTGTAGGGAGATTCTGTTAATAGATGCAAAATAAATTAAGGTAATTTTGTCATATATTTGAGTTTTTAACATAAGGTCTTTTATTCATTTAGTTTTTTTTAATATGTATTTTTATGCTTTGTTTTTCTGCAGGTATAAACTACAGAAAGCTGACTGATGAGTCCTCTGATCCATTGGCCACCCTACAGCCAGTCCTAACCAGTCAGAATGTTTTATCCATCTCTAAACTCTCCAATCGACTGCCTTTGCCTGGAGACAGCAAAGCAACGGTCTCCCCCAGTGCCGTGCATGCAGTATGGCTGCAGAAACTGTTTTGGAAAGGCGACCCACAGCTGCTGAAAAGACCCCCACAGAGTGATCAGGACTACCTGCATGCATATGACACCTGTGCCAAGTACCTGGACAGACTACTCTCCGCAGATGCCATCCATTTCCTGGACAGTATCACCTTCTCTCCTGATGCAGCCAAAAACGTAAGCGTCTTCAATACATTTTGCTGTCCTTTTCATTCCAATCAATATTTGCCAAACAGGAAATATGAAAAAGCAGCACAGCTCAGTAAAGCGTGGAGCAAGCTTTATTTCTCAGTGATAGTATCAGACAGGAACAGGTTGGACAGGGGCATACACATTTGTAACTGTGGCATTCGAGGCCGCTGGTTCCAGAAAGCCACCCAGGCAGAACTCATATAGTGCAGGAGGAAGGATTGCTGGGATTTCTACTCCCTATATCAACCTGTCATGTTTCTCCCCCCCTACTCCTCATTGTGAAGCTGATCTTCTGCTGTGCCTCCAGCTTCATGTTGAATTGTCAGAGACCCCTTTGCTAAGTTATTCTGTTCACATCCAAACTCCGAGGCCTCCAAACGCATACCAGCCCTGATTTATAAAAGAAATTATGAAATTTCCCTGGAAATGTCAGACACATAATTACTGCTCTGTGAGAAATTGTCCTGTGGTGGAATTAAAGTGCCTCAGTGCACCTTATCAATAGTAGCCCACTGTGTCCTTTTTTCTTCCTGGCACCCCACCAGCTCTCCTCTCCAGACCTTTGCTTTCCCCCCCATTTTTCCTGCATGTCCCTTCTCTTTCCCTGCAACTCTGAGGTCTAATTGATCCCTCTCTGCTTCAGACCCAATTAAACTCCCAATTCCCACCAGGCACAGTTTTCCCTCTGGTCTTTAACATGGAGATTACTTCTTTGAATCACACTGTATTTCTATTCCCTTTCTTCCTTTCTTTCTTTTTGAGCCCTTCAAGGAAAAATCCAAATGCCTTTCTCTCACTATCGGGACAGTAGCTGACCTTTCAGTGCTACTTTGGACTCCACAATGAAGCCCGATCAATGTCTTATGAGGCTGAGGTCGGATGGATAACTAGACTTTGTCATTCTTCCAACTGGATGAATATTATGAAGAGAAACTCCTCGTATTGACTCCCCCCTACCTCTCTAGCTATTGATTGGAAATAAACATTTTTGATTTCATGTTAGATATACGCTTACATACAGTAGCAGCCATTAAAAATGTCCCTTCCCTGTCAAACACCAGCCGAATGGCAGCCCACTTCCCTGCAACTCACAGCAAAATCCCCTCCAACTTCCAACCAGCTTCTTCTCCTGGGCTTGCATATTTTTTTACTCTGACTCCACCGTATAATTGAATTACAGGGTCTGACCAGGAGATGACGCTTTTCTTTAGATCTTAATGTCCACAGATCATGACAGAAAGAATGATTTAGTACAAATATCAATGTTTTAAAAGGAATTGTAGGGGACTAGCCAAGGGCCCATCAAGGAAAGTGGGGAAATTTTGAATGGCTACCACTCTATAGTCATATCTAAATAATTTCAATACATATGAAATATTTTGTTGATCAGATCAAGATTTATTACATTTAGTTTTTTCAGTGTGAAAAAAGTGAAAAAGTTTAAAATAATCAATGCTGCACTCTGTTATAAACTTACATGATATAATACTAAATTGTAAGACTTGGCATGTTTCGTCTTGGCTCCAAGTTAAACACTATTCTGTGCCGGAGGAGGAAAGTACTGACCGGTTTGGTGAAACATATCTTGTATGTCTTTTAAGCTGAACGAGTTGCAGCGGCTATGAATCTAGATGATGTTGGTGCGTCCACGCCGGTTTGATTGTGTGTGCGCGTGCAAAGCTTGTTGACGCCTGTCTGCTTTCATGTAAAAGGGTAAAACCTTCAGCCAAAGCTCCTCTCCTCTCCGCATGAATAGTTAACCTGCTCACGCTGAATAAAATCAATCACATCAGTCTGACTTCTATGATGTTTTTTCACACGCTTCTCTCACTGACATGGTTCTCCCACACATATACACTACAGCTCCCTGGTATTATTTTCAGTGAGATCGATTGGGTATCTTCAACATGTTAAGCTTGGAATTAATAAATATCAACTGTCAGTCCCATCTTCCACCTCTCTGCTCAATTTGACCTCAATCTTCCCACCTCATTTCCTTCCCTTCTCACGTTTCACCTCTTCCGGCCTTGTTTGACCCTCAGTATTCTCTGTTCCCTGCCTAGCTGAGCATCCAAGCAAGGTTGGAGGTGATAAAGCGAGCCTCCAAAGCCCTGCGCCAGCTGGCCGAGAAGAGCCGGAAGAAAGGAAGTGATAATAGTGGAGAGCAGGAAGGTACAGGCGCAACAGGAGTTACTTTTGAAGAGGCTCTAGCACACCTGCAGCAATCTCAGGCCCACCTGGACACTCTGAGTCATGCCTTTATCCTGTCGCTCAGAGACAGCCAGCAGGTAGGCCACATCTGCCACAGCCTGGCTGTGATATTGTTTGAGGAAGAGAATTTCTCTATGTAAAACTGTCTCCACAATATATATTAATTAGAAAAAACAGTAAAAGGTTTGAAATAGAAATCTGTATCCTACAAATTTTCTAAATGTTAGTCATGTATCATTTAAGTAGGGTTATTGGTATTGTTAAAAGGAACATTGCATAGCAAAATGGTGTCTTTAAATGGTTTTACTTCTATGTTTCTTTAGGAGTGACAATATTCATGTTTTGGATAAGGTTATAAGTTTCTCACAATTTGTTCCACCAAAATTTACTTTAACACAAAAACCATTATTTGTAGTTATTTGTAAATGCTTGGTTGATTTGTTCTTTATCAAAAATATAAAGGAAGAGTAAGGTGTATGTTGAGGAAGGACATGTCAAAATCAGTCATATTAGGGAAGGCAAAGCAGTTATTTTAATCCAGTAGCTGAGAACTTTGGGACTTTGTTTTGTCTCTCATATTGCTTTAGATTTATAAAATTTCTTCAGTTATGTTGATTGTTGGACCTTTTGCTCATTCCTTAACACTGCCTTAAAGTTAAATCTCAGCTGTAAAAAGTAAAAACTCAGCTGAGCAGAGCACAGGCTGTTGGAAGGATGGCCTGACATCATGTGTGAATGTGTGCACAATGGGCCATATAGCTGTAGTGTAAAGCTACATGTCTAGTCTTATTAGACTACTAGCCTGTTGTGACTAGAAATGCCATAAAGAAATGTCTGATGTATTCAAGATGCTAGTTAAAAAGCAAAGGCTGTGCTGAAATATTCTATTTCTTTGTGCATAGCTATATTTGAGAAAGACCTTCATCCTGATGGACTGGTAGTTCTTGTAAAAAAAATTCACTTCTCTATAGTTATTCTTACCGTTGAAATATAAACTTCAGATTATAAGTAAGTGGCCTGTCCCCCATCTGAAACTGATATGGGTTTCCCACAGTTTTGATACAAAACAAGTTAGAAAATGATCTTAACAGTCTTAATTTAAAAAAAAATCTCCATAAAAGAATAATATTAACATTTCCTGGCAGCTTTCTTCTTTTTATTTACCTATGAAGAAATTTTAATCACCATCAGATAACAACCAATCTCTTCATGACTCCCACCTCTAGACTCTTAGAAAGATTTGAACATGTGCAGAGGAAGTTAATTCCTTAAACAAAAAAGGAAAAAAACTCCTGACTAGGGTTGTCACGATACTAAACTTTTCAACTCGATACTGATACTAAGGAAAATATTCGATACTCGATACCATTTTCGATACCACAAGGATAAAAACAAAGTCTCCAAAATTCTACAGAAACATTTACATTAATAAATAAAATACAATAAATAAATACAATAAAGGTTGGATGCTGTGCACAATATTAAGCAAGCTTAATAAAAAAACTTATAAAATTAAAATTGAGTGTTCCTTCCTTGGCTATGCTTTGCACACATAACAATGACACTAGCCAAACCGGTTAAGAAACAAAAATAATTCTCAGCAGCTGCACCTCTTACCAAAAAAAAAAGTCTGAAACTGAAAAGTGCACAGAATTATTCAATCACACAGTGTTCTGAAAGTGCATTGTCCTCTATTCTGCACTTTAGATGAATGACTGCTTAGGTGCCACTGGTGGTGGCACAGTATTGATACTTTTAAAAACGAGTATTGAATCCGGATACAATGTTTCAGTATCGATACTTTTTTGAGTATCAATACTTTTGACAACCCTACTCCTGACACAAGGTAACATCTCAGAATATGAGTAATACACGCTTGAAGTGAAACCTCCAGTTTGAGACAACTCTGCTCAGTTTGCTCTAAAATATTCCAAATTACAAGAGAGTTAGTTATTTTTTCTGTAGTATAGCAGTTTTAGTTCATATGTGTAGGTATATAAACATTGGCACTGCACAGAAGAAAAAGAAATGTTGACCAGACTCAGTCTTTTAAGTGTCTTTGACATCCTATGACAAACTTGCACACATAGGCATGAGCATTTCTGAATTCCCTACCATGAGAGGACCTTTAGTTTGACCTCCAGATGGTGTTCCAGAGTGTTTATCCTGTATATATGGTCGCCTTTTTGGCTGGTCTGCTCTGCTAAGCTCTTCCCGGCCACACAGGGGCCAGTCAAGAGTGTATTAATGTAAATCTACTGGCTGCTGTTTAAAATGAGCCCCCTCCGCATGGACGTATACATGGCTCATGCACCCTGCTGTATCTCATTAAGTAAAGTCACACTGGCTTAACCCCTCTGTCACCTCACTGTGCCCATGCACATGTGTAAACACTACATGAGAAACAGGGCGTTATGATTTAGTGAGATGGGTGTTGCTATGCGACCACCATGGTGCATCGAGAACTGGCTTGACCACAGCGCCGTGTAAGCTAGTGATATTTAGCTCTTTATTTATCTGTTTAAGACCACAAATCCTCTGTAATAAAGGCAAAGGTACAAGTATTACAAGTGTTCAAGCAGAGTCACAGGTGCATGTGTGCAGTACATGTTATCTGACACGTTATTCCCTTTAATATAACCTCTCTCCTTTAGTGGGTGAAGCGATTACATTCTTAGAGGAGCCTTAGATGATAAAAAACATATTAAGGAGAGGGAAAGGGCAGATGAGGAGATAAAGATGGATACCTGGAGCTGTAGAGGTTCTCCTCAGCCATAAGGGAGTCATTTTTCAAATGGACATAGTTACACTGACCCGGAATTAGGTTTTTATTTGCACTGCCGTGCAAAACTACCTATACCACTATAGTTTCTTTAAGAATCTGTCCCATTACATTCATAAACTTCAGTGTATTTTATCAGGACTTAATAGACTAACACATGTAGCGAATGACTGGAATGTGTAAACAAACCAGAGTATAAATCTAAAGATTTTTAGAAATAAAAATCTGAGAAGTGTGGAGTGGAGTAATTTTCAACCGCCTTTATTCTGTCTTACTTTCCACGTCCCTTTAAAATGTCTCAAAGCCACTTTAAAACCAGAGGATATCAGTTACCCAGAGGTACTGAGCATTTATGCATCCCTCACTATTTAAATGTATATTAATAGGACAAAAAAAGAGTGTACATCACCATCACCCTCTACTCTTTGCTGGTCCATCACATAAAATTCTAAATAAAACTGGAGGTTGTTTTTACAACACATGTAAAAATGTTCCGGTAGTAGGAAATAGTTTAGCAGATACTGTAATATATATGTGTAGTATGACGTACTGAAATAGTAGTACTTCATTCAGAAAGTTTACATATTACCATCCAGATAAATCTCTGAATTGAACCTGTTCTCTGTAAAAAAGCATTACTCTCAAAAGTTAACTGCTGCTCCATAACTCTTATTCCTCTGGGAGGTAGAGCCCAGGCTGATGAACTGAAAGCTTCATATTATAGCACATTCACTCATCATCATGTCCATTGCACATGATTAGCATATTACCCAAACGGCTGCATTTTTTCATCAGGCGCTCAGCCTCAGACTATATTGCCATGAACATCAGGGACTGCAGTGAAACTGCTGCATAAAAATGTTATCCTATCAGGCACTCCTCAGTCTTTAACTGCATCAACGCTGATGAATACATACCGTTATCAAGTGAACAGTATAAAATAGCTCTCATCTGTCTCGCTTTAACAGAAAGAAAGGAAGATAATACGATATAATTTTCAAGTCTTCAATATTGTCTTGGTAATATAAAGACCCATTTTGATTACACAGTTTCCTGTGAACTTATTATCTAGGAATCTTGGTGTCAAAGCAGATCGTTAAATATAGTTGTTCTCTTCTGGCATCTCTAATCAACATGTTAGGAGAAAGTATGAGTAGGACTATATGTGCAAGACAATAGGATATTCACTTTGATTTAATGTAATTTAGGTTTTAATTTACCCCTAATGCTAACCAAGCCCAGTTTACCTAAATTATAACCTTCAATAGACTCTTTTTTGGTTTGGTTTCCACTTATGTCCTTTTTATATCTGTCTACTTCAGGAACAACGACGACGCTATAGTCAACTTTATGATTTGTCGCGCTCTGAAAGGTCAAAAATTTGCGAGTTGGCCGTCACAATGGCAACTGATGGACTTCCCCTGGAGCAGATTAAAGAGCTTCTTGGTGTGGCTGTTGGACCCCTCCACCTGTCTGTTAAAACTGTGCTTGAAGAGGCTGTCAGAAGGGTCGTAGCAGCGCTCAGGTAAGATCACTCACTTTCCTCCGTTTCTTAGTTTGTTTTCACATCCATACAGTTGTTTCCCTGCAGGTGTTTAACTGCGCTTGATAGGGCAGCACTTACTATTATATTTATTGATGCCCAAAACAGCCAGAGGAGTTGTCAATGTGATCTTTTTGCCTCTTTGAAATACGATAGGAACTTTCTGCTGGAAATGCTCATCCAAAAGCTGTCATTTGTAATTTTAAAAATGTATGTTCTTTCAGAAAATCTTCTTTCTTGGAAATAGTATTGGTTTTAAAGTACATGTTGGATCTGAATATAAGTTGCTTTCAAGTTGTTTAAACCTGTTGTCACTTTTTATGACTGTTGTCATATTTTATAAAAATGTCATATTGTTTCAAAGAAAAAGGATAGCGGTGTTTGGTTTTCAGATTAGATAAATCTAAAAGGACACGTTTTTAGATTTTGATAAAAACACCTACATGAGGAATTACCAAACTTATCAATTCAGCATGTTGTCATTGTTTTTAGAAGCTTTATGATTGAAATCCTCGATTTATACTTGATAGATTGATGTTTGAATTACAATAAAAAACAGAGACACTCTATAGGAATTAATATTAATAGCCTGACAATCTCACTTAAAATCACATTTTACACTCTGGAATTTGAGAATGGAGTTAGAAATTATTTTACAATTTACAAGGTTAAACCTTTTTTCTTTTTATAGCAGACATTTTTTTTATTTTTAGCAGAAAATGAAAACAAGTCCTGCGTTTTTAGTCTTTATAGTATTTTTTATTAAAATTGACAGGATCAGTAGATTGCACTTTCACTTTTTTTTCACTAAATGCAGCTAAAAATCCTTTTATATTTAGTTTTTTTACTTGCTGGAGGAAAATCAATGTCTTGCAGTTTTCTGGTCTTCATTCTTTTTTTTTTTTTCTGTAAATGCCTGCCAAATAACATCATCATCCTTTTGCTTCATTTTATACCTGTTCTTAATGATTACAGTAAAAAGACTCAAAGCATGTCTTAAATCAAAATACAGATAAAAAGCATGCTTAGTATCAGGCCACCTGAACAAACCACCCACGACACAATCTTTGTCAGCATTTATTAGAAAATATTCCACATGTCAGTCCACTCTGAGCTCAGCAGGTTGCTGGGACGAATGCTGTCAAAGGAAAAGCCTGAATGTACAGAAGGTGCCTGTGGGAGTTCAGCTCTGAGCACTCAGAAGAAACGGAGAGATGATTCGTGCTGACATGCCTGCAGAGCGGCTAGATTTAAAAGGAATGACAAATACGTGGCTATTGTATGACTCAGCATGCCAAACGTCACCCCCTCACAGAACTTAACCAAAAAAGAGAAATAAGGAAATTCTGGGTTTCGGATATGGCCTAAAATATTATAGATGGTCTATTCTTTTTTGTGGCCCTTTAAGCCTTGATGACCTCTTTGGATTTACAGAAGGAGCCAAATTTAATCTGGTCATCTGATTGGCTTGATAAATGAGCATCAATCACCTTGATTATATTCCAGGCTGATTTCCTGCTATTTCATGGCTGCTCAATGATGCATGCTGCAGATTAATGGCACCTGCATTTAGACACCAACAGATTGTGCACGTCCCCAGACTCTCATTTATATTCATGCAGATGTGCAAGCACTATACGTGATAAACATGCACTCTTTTATGCATTTTTGTGCTTTTTCTCTGATTCATTATCTTACCATAATTGATGCAGCCTCTTATCGATGTTCTCCAGATTTCATCCACGCATCCATATATCTGCTTGTTGGTTTTGTGTCTGCTCACAGAAAGCTTTGCTCTATGTAATTAGTGATATATTTAGTTTTTCATGTTCATGGCATTCAGAAATATGCTCTTACCTTTAGTTGTGGGGCTTTCCTAAAGTGTTTGGCAGTTATGAATGAGCCAGTCTGGTTTTTGGCTCCCCCAAAAAGCTTTCCGGTCTGGTGCAGCAGGCAGAGCCGAGTCTAACGCTAATGGCTGTCTTTTGTATCTGTCATAACCACTCTGGGTTTTTATGTGTGTGAGTTTCAAAGGAGAAAAATCTAACTGTGAAAAAGCAAAAGAGAAAATGCTGTGTCATCTTCCTCCTTGTTGGAAGAACATTTGTATATTTTTTGATTTATATATATGCCAAGCAGGAATTTCCTTTGCATGAATACAGTCCCATCAGCAACAAAAGGGAAGCAGCAGATTCCAGAACCACAATAACAGAGTTATACTAATGATGTTCCAGCCACTCTTTCAACTTTTCTAGTTTGTTCCTTAATCTATTTAAGTTACAACTCATTTGAAGTTGTAATTCTCTTTCAACTTTAAATGATCTTGTAAATTAAACAAGCTCATGGAGCCTGTGAGGTTTCTTTGCCCTACAAATTGATTTTTTTTTTTTGGTTCATGTTGCCTGCGGGATGGTTAATTTTTACAAAACTGTGCTTCCTTTAAACATCCATTTGCTGTTAGTCATTTCTAAAAGAAATGGTCCCAAACAAGAAATAATTTCATTGCAGTTTTTCTCTCTTGACATTATTTTAAATCTCCATTTTTACCCTGCATGGTTTTAACTCTTAATATTTTGATACTATTTGCTTTTTTAGTGGGGACCAAAATGCCCTGACCAGTTACCCTCAACCGCTCAGAGTGCTGGAGATGATGGTGACATCTGTGCACAACAACGTGCAGAGCGGGTAGGTTACATTTGTCCACTCATGGCTTCCTGACAAAAAAAAAAACTATGGCAAAGTCCAATAATCTTAATACTGTTAGACTCAAACCTCCTGAGGACATATGGTGAGATGTTGAATATACGCTACTCTAAGTTTGAGTAGGCCTTAAAAGAGTTGTTGCTCACCATATTTCTGGCAAATGTCAAAAGGTCATCAGAGCAGTGACCCAAACATCATCAGTAAATCCAAAAAAGGAATGGCTGAGAAGCAAAGAGAGTCAGAATGTCTATGGTTGAGGGAATTTTGTTCGGATCCATAATCAAACTTGTATCTCAGTCCTAGTTTCTGCACTACTTGTGTTTTAGTCAGCATCCAAATTGTATCAGGAAGCACATCCTTGATTTGCACATTCAAATTTTCACAAATTAAAGAGCATTTGTGTAGTTGGATGTGTGTATATATTATATAAAACTGTAACTGGAGTGTGTAACAAAAAGTAATTTCCCTCTGGGATTATTAAAGTATTTCTGATTCTGATTCAGATTTTATTGTTCACCACTTGCAAAACTGTATTTCAGGTTCTGCACATTGTGTTGATAATCTAAGAAACCTGAATTAATCCAAACAATCAGTTCATCTGTAATCATTTTCTGTACGCCTTGTTATAGCTAAGACATGCCACAGACCTCTCTGAATCATGGAGAGTTTCATGTAGATCCCCCCCTTGTTTTTTTTTGTACATGCAATGCTCTAAAGTATCAAGTAAAAACACAAAAATTCACAGCCTTAAAATCTTTTCTATTATTGTTAAGTTTTATTCTTTTTTTTGTTTTTGTTTTGTCGAATGATTCCAGAAGTCTTGATGTCGCTCCTATTGGTTTTTGAGCTTTTTCACTGTAAGGTAATTTTTTTTTAAGCCCAACCTGCTGATCTCTTCTGAGAGTAACCCAGGCACGTCTCCTGCCAGTCTAAGCCGTCCTTATCTCCCTTGGCCTGTCTGACTGCTGTCTGTCTTCCCCTATTCCATCAGTGACAGCACTGTGACTTCAGATGACCTGCTGGCTTGGCTGCGCCCATTCTGTGGTGACGCTTCCCTCCCTGTGCGGCCTCGCATCGACGTGCTGCAGATCCTGGAGAGTAACTTCAGTCTCAGAGACAGCGACGTCCGTCTTCTCCTGCTTTACAGGACCCAAGCTGTGCTCAAAGACAGAGAGGTGATGGCAACACACAACCTAGTAATGGCAATGACTTATCCACTGCACTCTGAGTGTTCATTTAGAGTACTTGAGAAAATTCAATTATTACCAGCATTTTTCAAAAAAGTTAAAAAGTAATTAATTCTGAGGAGATTAGAGAGGTTTTGTTATATTGCTTTTGAGAATTTGCTTAAATTCAAGGAGGAAAAAAATGAATAAATTAGTAGAACCAGAAAACAAGAAAAGGGGTGGATCAGAAAATCACTCAGTGCAATATGAAATGGCATAATTGAATAAAGTAATTTGCCCCTAAATTCGTTATGCTTCAGTTCCAGAGAGAAAGATGCACTGAGCAGCAGTTTTTGATGCTTTTTGTGGGTCATTTTAAGTTTTCTTTGCATTTGGGCTTCTCCTTCAGCCATTTTTTATTCCAGTCCTGGAGCCTGCATGGCAGCTTATTTGGTAAGGTGTGCTTAGATAATTATGAAAGCTGACAAGCAGTGCAGCAGTGGATAAACCATGCGGTGGTTTCTGACTTTTTATGCAAACAGAAAAACACATCACAGGGAAGGAAGGGTACCCTTACTGGCCTTTTAAATAGTGCTGCATATGCTTTAACCAAGCGAAACTCTGCTTTAATCGGATCATTCAGGACAAGTTTTAATGCCACCTCTGCTCAGTGCATTCAGATTCACTTAAAAATCTTGTCTTCCATTATGTTGTTTATGTTTACACACAACACTGGTTAATCCCTTGATTTTAAAAGCCTTTAATGAACAAAAAAAGAAAATTGTGACGCATTGAAAATGGCTTAATTCTTTTTCAGAAAACTGATAAAACAAAAACATGAAAAAATTAAAATCTTTACCCAAATGCTGAAAAAAAGATCAACACAGTATGAAGAATAAAAAAAAAGAAACTATAAAATATATAAAGCGAGATATCTATTAAAGATTTAGAGCTGAAACAATGAATCAAATTAATCGATTATTGAAATTATCATTAACTGGGGTATAGAGACTCTAAAACATGCTTTTAGCTGATGGAATTGAATTGAATTGAATGAATTATACCAAAATTGTGAAGAAAATTTGAAAATATTTTGCATTTAAGATAAGAAAGACATTTTTGGTCAGCATTCTGCTCTATTCAGAATTCCTCAAGTGGAAAAAGATTTATATTTACGTAAAAAATTCTTCTTTAAGGAATCTTTGGCTATCCGATTATTAATCGAAAAAAATACTTAACAGATTGATCGAGTTGCTAAATAATCTTAAGTTGCAGCCCGAAAAAGATGAGAAAAAATTCAGCTGAGGGCATTTGCACAGTGGCATGTTTCACATCCATCTACAAGATGTGCACTCTTGTTGGATTGCATGAAAAGAGAATCAGTGGATGCTCTTACTTGCCTTGTTACAATTAGTTTCAGCATTTCTTGAAACATTACAAACTCCTTACATCTATGCTGGTTATATATTATCACATACAGTTACTATTCAAAGAAATACTTCCAAAGTAGCGAACCAAAAACCCAATAGATTTAGATTTAGTGTTTGTTTTAATGTTAAACTTCTGTTCTTCTGATTCAGGCTTGCTCTAAGCGATGACATTTGGAAAAGGCGTTTATTAAACGTTTTTGACAGACTCCTAAATATCTGCATATAGTCTCATATCCTCAGCCCTGTGTGGGACATGTCTATTGGTCTTGCCCATGTCTGGCTCTGCCTCCCCCGTTTCTCCTCCCAGGTGTATCCATCCTTTGAGTGGCTAGTAGTTAAGTTATATTGCTGACTAATTCATGGCCGAATCTGGTTAATTAATGTATAAATGCATGCGAGCAGCCGCAGGCCATTGTGTGCTCAGGTAGACAGGTGTGTGGGCCTGGACTCTTTAGCTAATTGGGTGAACTCCTGACATTTGGCAGGCTTTGATGAAATACTCTTACTGAAGCAGACACACACATGCTCTCTTAAAGGAGAGTACATCCAAGGGATCTGTTAATTAATCTTGTAAAAGACAACTCGCAGTAAGGGCAAGTCTCATTTCGAATAAAGTGATTCTGTGTCTCTTTCTCTCTTCCCTTTGGCTGCCCAACGCGTTAGCTGGATACTTGTAGTGGAGCTCTGATTTAACTGTCATTAGTTCTAATTTTGGTTGATTTTAAATATTATGTTCACGATTCAGCTGCAACCCATATCTAATCCACGGAGAAGCAGTTTTGACTCATGCTCACTCTTTTATTCATTATAGTTTTCCTTTTATTTGAACAACTTTTCATTGTGTCAACGGCACGGCTGAAAGCTACAGAAGATTAATCGTGGAGCTCCTGCCACCCATAAGCATGGCAGCAAATTGCCCTAAGGCTGAGCTACAGATTCAGTCAGTACTGACCCCATCGAGTCTCCTTGCTGCCAGAAGACAAAGACAGCAGGGAGCAGAAAGAAATCTCTTTAGGAAAAAAAATATGTCAAATGAGTAGAGAAATAAGCTGGGGAGGGATTAGACAGGAGCAGCCCCCCCCCTCCCCCGGACTCTTGGGTCCTTTACTAATCGGCACAGCTCCCTTCTAACGATGTCCCACAGGTTACCTCAGACACAAAAACCCTTCAATTTATTCTATTCTCTGTAGAGCTCACCAACATGGAAGGCGCTAAAAAACAAGCTGTGATGATTGCTTTATGTTTTATAAAAGTTAACGCTTTGACGTACAGGACTGATACAGTTACTCCTACGCACAACTTCCTTACAGTTAATTATGCTTTAATTTGCTGTATTTGGTTAGTGTGCAAATATGAAGTCCTTAATTCTGAGGTTGCCTCACACACACACACACGTTCTGCCATCGTAGTGAGGCACATGTGTTGACTCACATTGACTTCCATTGATTTTCAGTCATTTTCAAACCTTTCTATGCCCCAGCCCTAAATCTAACCATTACCAATGCATACATCACTCTAACCCTAACCCTAACCAATTGACACCTTAGACCTAAACCTAACCATTAGCAAAATAACATGTGAGGACCAGCAAAATGTCCTCACTTTGGTCCTGAATTTGATGGTAAAATTGGAAAAATGGGCGTTTGCACAGTGGTAAAATTGGAAAAATGGTGCTCTTATACCTCACTGACTGGGAGGACGGAGGAGTCAGTATGTAAGGGGTATGCAAGTGACCAGAAAGAGTACCTTGTCTTATAAAGGGTTAAACATGAGGGCTGGCATTAACATTGCACATTAGAGAAGGCCATCATTACATGCTGTTTAGTCAAGGCTGGGTCAAGCTCAGCTGTGTCAGTGGGAACACCTGCCACATGATTCAGAGTCTTCACTTCTCAAAGACCTGGGATGATATACAAGATTGAATTGGAGAGACACACAGGAGGTATATTAGTTGGAGAGGTTGGAGATGTATATAAGAAAACAGATAGAGGGATGGTATTAAAACAAAATTTTGAGCTACTCACCCTTCCAATCTATCATTCTTTGTCCCTTGTTTAGCATCCTAATACAGTACTTCATTGTAGACACCTTAAAAGGAAGGTATTAATGAGCCCAATTGAAATGCTGACATTTAGGCAGTCTGGTGGAGGGATTGAGTTATGGGGGGGAAAGGAGAAGGGTATACAGGGTGACAGTGGGAATGGATTTTGTGACTTAATTTTGAATGATTAGTCATAACAGCAGGGCATTCAAATGCCACTACTGTCAAGATTGGATGGTCTGTTATGTCTGAGAGCAAGTCTTTGGGAATATTGTGGCCTTTACATCAATGACCAAGGTCAACCAAGTGTAAGTTCTCTCTAACATTTCAAAAAGAAAAAGATGATGTCAGGGTAAATGTTTGCATTCTGCTAAATGCCCGTTAATGCGATTCTATTTCTGCTTGCTGTTTAAGGTGGAGTTAATTATAATGCTGTATCCCACAGCAGTGCTACCACTAACAACCACATCAGGCCACAAACACTTAAATTGAAATCTGCAGAGAGCAATGAAGTAAAGTGAGCCAGGTCACAGCCATGAGGTTTTATGCCTGTGTTTACTTTAAATGTTACTCAGCCTAGAGAGGGATTGCAGAGAGAATCACCTCCAGGTGCTCATGCAGGACTGTGCGCACGAAATGTCATCATCTAAGCTCCTCATCGGCCCAATCATTGATTCATGCTACAAGGCCTTTTCGCCCTGTCACTGTCATGGATCATTTGCTGTGACACACCGTTTTGGTGCTGAGCTGTTTGGCCTTGCAGGGCATTGTCTGCGTAGAATAGATGAACTGGGCTTAGCAGAACACAGAGAGGCTCTCGCTGGCCTCGGGTCTGCAGCTAAGAGGCCTCTTGTGTTTGCACATTAAACCCGTCCTAACCACTGCTTGACTTTAAGCCACTGCATCACACTTAGATCATTTGATGTTTGTGGTTTTTAGTTGATCTCACATTTGGGGTTTTAGAAAAAGTAGTCATACTTTAAGAAATGTTACTTTCTGTCGCAAAAGTAAAGCAATGCACATCCTCTGTAGTGTGTGTCCTTTTGGACATCTGGATATGAATTCTTTCCTACTCTTCTTTGCACAATAGCTCGTGTTCTGTCAGATCACATGGAAAATGTCTGTGGACATACATTTTCCCATTCTGCTGAAGAATATTGATTTGATTTAGATGTGGACTTTTACCTGGAACTTAGATCCGCAATACTCCAAACCAGGTGTGTTCATTAGATAAAACGACATGCGTATGCATTGTCATTGATGTTTTGCAAACCATCAAGACTTGTGCTTCAAACTGAAATGCTGAAACTCCATGTTTCATTGTTCACGATAACTTGAGGCTTATGTGTCTATGAGTGACGGGGTGCAGACTATGATAAAAGCTGATGCTTCAGAATCACCTAAATTCAAAATAATTTTTGGGGAAATTGTTTATGCCTAGACAAATAAAAGAGTGAGGGTTTTATTCATTTTTTATTTTTTTTTAAACCATTTGACTTGAGGTATTTCAGATAAGACTTTTAGACCTGGGACCACTG